TTCTTGTTTTATTAAATTTGAAATGAAATTAATCAAACAGCATCCCCAAAGCCAGTGTACCTCATTCCATCACAGGTTTGAAAAGTCCATAAAGGGATATTCTGTTACCATTTTAATTAATTGACTACTTAATTAATTAAATTTTGAGGCTGGATCTCTGTAGCCCAGGCTGGCCTGGAACTCAAAGAGATCTACCTGCCTCTGTCTCTTGAGTGTTGGAGTTAAAGATGTGTGTACCATGCTTGTCGCTTGTCCCTCTAGTCCTTTGATATGTATGTGTTTACTTATTTATATTTTATACAGGGTCTTACTGTGTAGCCCTGACTGGCCTAAGCTTTCTATGTAGACCAGGCTGGTCTGAGTTCACAGAGATCAACTGCATTTGCCTCTGGTAGGCTGGTATCAAGGGGTGTGCCACTATGCCTGGCCCCTCCTTTTATAATTCTAAAACAGGGACAGGCATGGTGGCACATGCCTGTAATCCCAGCACAGTCTGAGACAGTAGGATCACGAGTTCAGGGCACGTGTAGGCACATGTCAAGTTCAAGGCCGGTTTATATAGTGAGACGCAATCTCTTGAAAAAAATGAACCACACCACATTGTCAGCCATCGCAGCTTTCTCTATAGCTTATTTAACATGTTTACAGCAGATCGTTTGATTCTGTGTCTGCCCCTTCTAGCAGCTAACTCTCGCCTTTGTCTTCTACTGACATTTTCTCTTTGGTTAGCCTCCCATTTTCCTGCTTCTCCTCTCTGACACTTAGAATGCCAGTCACCGGGAGTGGCAAACTGCGGAGACTCTGGCTTCTATTTCCTCTTTCATGTCCTCAGTTTTGCTCTAGCAAGTCGAGAAATGGGAATCACCTTGATTCTTATTTTTTACCCTTTCCGTTCTCCTCAGGGGGAGGAGGTACATGTGTCTGTGTGCATGCTTGCATGCGTGTGGGCTTACAGGTGTGTGTGATATGGAGGCCAGAGGTGCATGTGTCTGTATGCATGTTTGCACACATGTGGACTTACCAGTGTGTGTGATGTGTGTGCATGCTGACATGTGTGTGGACTTACACCAGTATATGTGATGTGTGTGTGTATGTGTGTGTGTGTGCTGGCATGCGTGTGGGCTTACCAGTGTGTGTGTGATGTGTGTGTGTGCTGACATGTGTGCGAGCTTACCAGTGTGTCTGTGTGTGTGTGTGCATGCTGGCATGCGTGTGGACTTACCAGTGTATGTGGTGTGTGTGTGTGTGTGTGTGTGTGTGTGTGTGTGTGTGTGTGTGCACGCTGGCATGCGTGTGGGCTTACCAGTGTGTGTGATGTGGAGGCCAAGGTCAGTGTTGGGAATCATGAGCAACTCTTCCACCTCACTGAGGCAGGGGCTCTCATTCAAGCCCAATGTGGCTAGTCTTGCTAACCCAGTCCCTGTAAGTCTTTCTGGGGATCCTCATATCCCCTTTGCAAGGCTGGGATTACAGACAGACCATGATGCCAACCTGCCATTTTTTGTAGCTTCTGGAGATCCAAAGTCTGGCCCCCGCGCAACTACTGAGCCGTCTCTGGAGGCTTAAAGCAGTGGTTCTCAGCCTTCTCAAATGACCCTTTCATGGGTGTCACTAAGACCATCGGAAAATACAGATAGTTGCATCATGATTCATAATCATAGCAAAACTACAGTTAAATAACTTTGTGATTTGTGATTGGGGGTCACCACAACGTGAGGACCTGTATTAAAGGGTCGTGGGATTAGGAAGGTTGGAAACCACTGGTCTAGAGAGCAGAGATCTTTAGATTTGCTTAGCCTTGTGATTTTCAGTGGGAAAAATCATGTTAACCCAGCCCCTGTAAGTTGGTAGAAATTGAACTCCAAATTTTCTGCCTTCCCAACACAGGTGCTGCTAATGTCCCTCTCAAATTATTGAACCCCCACCCCACCCCGATCTTTCCCATTGAGCTTTGTACTTCCCTCTGTACTTACAGGTCAGGAACAAGCCCATGATTTGGCGGGGGAGGGGAGGTGTGCGTAAGAACATCTGAGGGCTCCCCAAGTCCCTCTCCTTTTTAAGGTGTCCTCCTCCAATTTCCAGCTGTATAGACAGCCTTAAACTCTCACCCAGCTGACTCATCCCGGCTCGACCACAGCTCTCTGCCTGAGTGACCTTCCTGCACGTCATTGCTGCAGGAAGCCCGCAGCCGAGAGTAGCCCTCACCTATCCCCATTTGTCTTAGGCTTACACCCTCATCACTACCTCCAAATAGTTGGAGGATTTTGTTATTATTGTTGTTGTTGTTGTTTGTTTAATTTTGCCAAGATTTGATTGGGCGAAGAGTTAGTCCAGTATAAATTAACCTACTATTCCAGGAGTCAGAATACCATCACCCTTCCATGCCTCTCCACCTTGGTTTTTCTGGTTTAAAAATTAAAAAATAAAATAAAATCTTGCTGTTTATGCTTTATGGAAACTCTTTTGTTGCTTCCCAGAGGACGCTGATAATGTCTTGGTTTTTATGTTTGAGCTCTAGCATTTGTGTTAGAGATTTTCTCCTGGTTGCCCGAGGGCTGACAGAGTGCCTGCCTAGCACAGGTAAGGCCCTGGGTATTGCAGGATTGCAGGAAACACCTACTGGGGTGTTGAGTTTAAGTGATAGCTCAGTGGCTCCAAAGGCCAGCATGTTGACACATGCACTCCTCAGAGTCCCCAGAGAGGGCACATGCTCAGCTGCCTGCACTCTGGAAGCTCCCCGGGAACGCCGTTCAAGGGTCACCACTTAAAGCCCACTCACCTGCTCTCTCAAATGCACTTGACACCTGTTATCTCAGACATACACGCCCGTGGTGGGAAGCAGTCAGTTGCCCGTGCTCCAGAGAGCCCTGGAGTGCTTCTCCGGCCCCCGTCAGCTCAGCTCCTTACTTCTGCCGTCCCCCTCCAATTCCTGGTATCACTTCCTGAGCCCTTTGAGGACTCTTTGAACCGGGCTCTTAGGTTCACAATCAGCCTTAGGTCTAACTTTTCGGTGTGCGTGTGAGTGTGTGTGTGTGTTTGTGCGCACACACGCTCTCATACATGCATACATGTGAGGCCACACATAGAAAGGACAACTCCCTTCACTGGGTTCTAGGGATCAAACCCAGGTCATCAGACTTGCACACGAGCAAGTGCCTTTTACCTCCTGAGCCTTCTCGCTGGCCCAGGTCTAGCTTCTTAAATGCACAGTCTCACCCGCCATCTGCTTTCCAGCCTCCAAGATTCGGATGGTGAATTCTCTGGTTTTCGGAAGGGGAGGACATGAACTCGGAAGCCTGCAACTAGAGACTGTAAAAGAGATTGCTTTTGTGGCATCGGTTGGTCAGAGGGCAGAGTCTCCGAGTCCACGGGCTTCAAGCACTTCTGAGTAGTCAAACCAATAGGGAACATTTGGCAGAAAACAAAGTAAGTGCTTATGATTCGGAGTTAGCGATGACCAAAGTGGCCAATGTAGATGAACACATTTGCACATGAGCAGAAAGATAAATGACCCAGGCTACCCCTGGGCTTGGAAGGAGACCTGGGGATTAGACCTTTTCCTGGGGCCATCTGCTACTGCAGCTGTGTGTACCTGGAGTCCTGAAGGCGACCATTGTTCTTGCCTCAGGGAAATGTGTTGGGGCTGGGGAAGGTCTGGGAGGGAGGGAGGGAAGGAAGGAAGGAAGGAAGGAAGGAAGGAAGGAAGGAAGGAAGGAAATGACAGCCCCGTGAGGGCCGATGTGAGCACTGGGACTCGGCTGGGATATTTAGAGGTGGCATGTCTCAGAGTCAGTGTGGGCAAAGTGGGTATGAGCCTGGACTCCATATTCTGAGCAACCAGCTACCAGAGAGGGTTGCTTTGAACCCCAAACAGGTAAGTTCAGCAAAACTTCACCATAGTAGGTCAGAAACATGGCCTCTATGTTTCTTATTCAAACAGGCGATCCTTTTCCGTTGGGATGCGTGAATAACAGAGTCCGCACTTTCCCCACTGGAGGTGTGGGAGCAGACTTCTGAGAGATATTGGCACGCTCATAACTCAGACACTGAAATATACTCTTATTGGGCTGTTACTAGAACATTGGGCTGGATGGAGAATGGGAGGCTCCGTGGACTGGGAAAAACTTGATCTGAGTTCAAATCTTGCCTCTGGCATACTCGCTGTACACCCTAAAGCAAGTGCTCAGTCTTTCTGATCTCCCTAAGGTTCTGGCAAGGGTTAAAGCCTTTACATAACACACAAGAGGACCAGGAAAGTAGCTGTTTATTGATTCCAACACATTTGATGAGCCCCTATTGGATATCCAGGCTGTGCATATGTGTTCCCGGAAGTCTCATGAGGTGATGCTCTAGCTGAGCCCCATCCTCTGTCCCTCAGGATCAAACCTGTAAAAGTAGACATTTTGATTCTGTCTGGGCTGCAGTGAATGATGGGAGAAAATGTCCAAGCATCCTCCACACCCTGCCGTGTACTGGAAGACAGCAGCGATAATGCTGGCAGCCATGTCTGCTGCTCGATTGGTTTCTGTCACGTGTCCAGATGTGCAGCGTTGACAGAGTCAGGGCGGTTCTGACCCGGTGACACTTGGGGCTCAAAGTGTCTCCTGCAGAGTGTATTTATAACCCCTGGGGGTTGACATCACGATGATTACAATGGCTGAAGACAGTGTGGACTGCTCCCAGGTGGGAGTGCTCACTTCCTCCAGGTCGGCAGGAAGTTCCCTAAGGTCTGTGGATGATCACAGAACCCCTGGCCGGGGTGCAGTAGCCTCACCAGCAGCACTGTACCGCACCCAGAGCTCAACTTTGATGCTTCCGTGTCACTTGGACATTTTCTTGACCTAGGTGAACTTTCCCTTTGGCCTATCCCTAAACTATACTGTGAGCCATCTTTTCCCTGGCAGTTGCCATGTTGGTGGGGAGGCTTCTGCCCTCTGGGTTTAGTTTGCTTCTACTTCCAGAAACCATTTAGCCTTGATCTTGTTTCTTCCCTTCTCCAGAACTTACCTGCTGCGTGTCAGACTGAGCTATCCCTATTCCATCCTGTTCTTCAAGACCTGCTACTATCCTGCTGGTGGTCACAGCCATGCCTGGAAAAAAGGTGACCCCTTCAGTGGGAGAGCTCCGTGTACACCCCTTGGAGGCCTCAGGGGGCAGGGAAGAAACTGTAGGAGTGCACAATTCATATCTGCGACTCCATGTGTGTGCCAGTGGCACCTAGCTTCCTTCCCGGAGACCTTGCTGTCCCAGACTGGACCTATCTGAGAACCGAGGCAAACACAGAGCCACTAGCCTCCTTGCTTCCTAGTTCCTAGCTCCCAGGAGCAGCTAGCTCAGCCATGGAGGCTGCTGAGAGCCCGGAGCCCCACTGCCCTGCATGTGTCCATCCTACTGTTTCCTGCTGTGAAATTATGTACAGGAGGGATGCGGCATCTTTCTGAGTGGCGTCCCCTTCAGAATGTGCCAGTGTTTCTGCGGTTCACGATATTTCCCTGCTGTTGTATTTCTTGGCTTTTTCTCCGTAGGCTGCCTTTCTCTCCTCACCGGGGAAATTACTGTTTCCTATCTGCACCCTTACAGGGTTTGTCGTCCCCCCCTCCCCCCGCTCTGTGGGGCCACAGGGTCTGGGGCACGGACGCTTCCTGACCTTGGCCAGCCTGCAAGTGACTCTCAGCATCTGCTTTGTCGCTGGAGAGGAACTGGGGTTGGACTGGTTTCCCTTCGGTCGGAGAGCTCTGCAGAGAGCAGGTGTCAATCACGCCGAGCGTGCACATCACTGTGACAAGCTGTTGGCTTACTGCCCCCTTCCCTTATAGCTAACCCAGCTGACAGAGCCCTATAGCCGGAGTGGAGGGGTCCTTTAGTGGGTCACAAATCCCCCCATTTTATTTTAAGTAGACTCCGCTGGGCCTGAGGGTGGGGTAAAGGATGGAAATCCTATTTGTAGATATGAATCTATGTAGATGACTTTGTGATCCCTTACTCCTCCAGCATTTTCGTGAGCATATGCACAGGGGCCCCTGGAGACCTGCCTATTTTACTGCCCTGGCTACAAGCCCTCAGTGACATCCTAGATGGCTCCTCTGCCAGCCTCCACACTTAGCTGCAGTCACCAAAGTAAGTCCCTGAGCAGAGGACGTGGCCACCTCTCCATTAGCAGGGACAGGCTGTGGAGCACAGGGTCCCAGCACTGTGACAGACAACTCCAGTCTGACCTTGCAGCCCCCTTGGGGCCTGGGTCTTGAAGCAACTTGGTGGCTGATAGGAGATACTCCAAGGAGCTGGCTGCAGAACAGAGTGGCCGCAACTGGAGTTGACCTCCCCACACCCGCCGAGAAGAATAAGTTATCACAAAAATGATGGTGAAATCTGGAAGTCTGTGTTCCATGCAGCAGAGAGAGGGGTGTGCGGTTGAGGACAACGTCAGAGTTCCAGCTGCCTTGTCCCTTGTTCTCTCCCAGTACTCTCTCTGGGGAAGAATTGCTTTTCTGCTTTTTTGTTTGTTTGTTTGTTTTTTAAGGCAAGGTTTCTCTGTAACTTTTGAGCCTGTCTTGGAACTCGCTTTGCAGATCAGGCTGGCCTCGAACTCACGGAGATCCGCCTGTCTCTGCCTCCCGAGGGCTGGGATGAAAGGTGTGTATGCTGCCACTGCCCGGCTAGGAATTACTTTTTGTCATAGGCCTCTACACAGCTATGGCAAATTGCCACCACTGCTGGGCCATGGCTTGGGGCCCTGCAGGTGGGGCCTGGGTCAGTGGTGCTCCAGGAAACATGTGCAAGGGGCTGGTGTTTCCCTAAAGAGTTCCCACTGGCAAAGACCCAAGAGATGGAGCAACTGGCCACTGGGGTATTCCCTCCCTAAAGAAAAGGAAGAGAGAACGCAATTGTCTGTCTCTGGGCCCACCTGGGTTTATGTGGCCTACAGACACAGGGAGAAATGCTTGCCTCCCTGCTCATCTTCCTTTTTACCCTGTCACATCATGGGTGACTGCTCACCATGCGAACGCTCATCCTGATGACTGAGGTCTCATTCTCTCTACCAAGTCCAAGAGGTCAGGAGAAAGTCCTCCACAGGGCTGGTAGAGGCACAGGACGCCTGTCCTAGCCTTGGTCACAGTTAGCTTTGGGAAAAGCACAGCTCATTTTGAGCACCATGGATCCAGAATGTTCCTTCTCTCCTTGTATGTGAGAGCTGGCTCTTGCAGCCCCACCCTCCCTACATAACTAAGTGTACTTGCTCCTCCTCGTAACTGGGAAGACACAGGATGCTGAAGGAATGCTCCAGGGGATATAGAACAGGTTCCAAGGGACTTGGTCTTTTGTCTTTGCCTTTCTAAGCACTTGGTGCTGAGAAGGTTTCCCATCACGACCTTTCTGGGCCCATAGTGTTACCATCGTGTGTGCCAATGGCATGTCCCCGTTGCTCCGTGGGCAGATGAGTAGATGAATTGAGGCTATATCTTCACAGGCATTTAGTAGTGCTAGGCCCCCGGGGAGGGTACATGAAACTACAAGGCTTCCCTTCTGTCCCCAGACATTAGCACCGCTCTAACAGACTAAGGGTGTGCAAAAGCAGGGGACCAAAGGAAGTTGCTGGAAGCTCCCACAGTGCTACTTTGTCTGTGGCCCAATGTCTGTCTCTCAGGGCTCAGCCAGGAAAGCAAAACATGTTTTTCGGGTTCGTACAGAAGCAAGATCAGTAGCGGGGAGGGGAAGTACAGTGAAGAGGCCAGGACCACTGGGAAGGAGCCAAAGCCATGAGGAGTCAGAGAGGGAAGAAGGAACTTGGCCTCTTTTCCCTGCCCTGTAGATTTCTGTGGGTGCCTCCCACTAGCTGGCTCCAGCCAGAAGCCAACTATCCTGGGAACATGCAGGCTCAGTCCCCAGCATGCGGCAGAGGAGAGCAGGGGAGGGCTGGTGAGCATCCCTGCGGCAGGTGCATGCCATGAGCTGTGTCTGCAGAGCCTGGCGGTACTGAGACCTTGGGGAAGGAGGCAGAGGAGTGGCCTGCTTGGGTTTTCATCCTGCTGGGGAGGAAAGAACTTTACTGGGAAGAAGAGAAAGCCTCTCCTCACAGCCGTCCCTGCTTTCCTGTGGAGTAACTTGCCCACCCAAGCACCCTGCCTGTGCTTCCTTCTGGAAAGCCACGTCCTGGTTTCCGTGTGCCCCGCCTGCCTGTTCCTCTCCTCTGAGTCTCTGGTTCCCCCTGCCATGAGCACTAACCAGAGCAGGCCTCAGTGCTCGGGAAAACTCCCACGCCAAGCCAGTGTGGCCTGTCTGTCTGTAGGAGAGGCCGTCTATCTGTTAGTTTGTATTGTGTTTCCAATAAACTTCTGAAAATCCTGCCTAGTGTCACGACGTCTTTTCCTGGGCCAGTGGCTCAGCTAGGTGGCTCTGCTCATGCTCTCTCCAGACTTTGGTGCCTGGAGGATTTCATCTATGGAGCTCGGTGCCACTGCGTGCTCCCAGGGTCTAGGAGAGGTGGCAGGCCACCCCCAAACTCTCAGCCACCTTTCTCCCGGGTTGAATGTGCTGTTATTGCCTCAGCAGCCACATCCTGAGAATGTGGTAGCTTCAGGACGCTGTACCCTCAAATAAGTGCCTTTGTGCCGCTTAAGCCTGGAGGTGGGAGCAACAGGCAGATCTCGCCTCGCTAGTCACCCAGAGTCACTCCTGCACTGCTGTGTGCTAGCACTGCATCCTGGGGACACATGTTGGGGTTCGTGGGGAGGTGCAGAGGAAGTTGCTGTGCTCTGGCCCAGGGCTGCCTTGTCAGGTGACTGAGCATACTGCGTCAATTGCCTGCTGAGGCAATTATAGGATAAAGTAAGTGGAGACTCACAAGAGACCCTTCCAATCTGTGTGTAGGACCCTGGTTTGCTGGACTACATGATAGGTGATTAAAAAAACAAAACCAAAAGAGAGGGTGTATTTGTTGGGGTTGCTTGGGTATTGTTTATTTTTTTAAATAAGCATTATTTGGTTTTGTTCAAATATGTATATATGCATGTATGTATGTATGTATGTATGTGGGCTTCTGTGTGCCACAGAACATATGTCGAGATCCGGGGATAGCTCCCTGCAGCTCCCTCCTTCTACCACGGAGGTCCTGAGGATAGAAGTCGGACTGTTAGGTTGTCTGCGTGCACCCTGCCTGGTGAGCCATCTCTTGGGCCCAGGAACAATAGACACTAAAGGGGGATTTAGTACATTGGCTCCCCTGTCAACTAAATAATCTCATTTCCTTATGTCATTCTTACTTGCCCAATGGAAATGATAATAAAGTCATAATTCCACCTTAAATGATATAACTATATCACATACAACTACAAATATACTATCCCTGCCCCCTGAGAATAAGTGCCAACGTCCCTTGAGAAATGGTTAGCTTTTTAGTGTCCCATAACTTAGGTACAATGGTATGTATTTACAGCACTTACATGTGAATATCATTTCACTATTACACTATATAAACAAAAGAAAGCAAACATCTGCTTAAAGAATAGTCATTTTTTATATGGTATTTTATTTATTCTTTGATCATTTCATGTATGTATACAATATAATTTTGTCACATCCAACTCCCTCTGGACATTGTCCCCAACTTCATGTCCTTTTTTTATCTCCCTCACAACCCACTGAATCCTATCTGTGGGGTCCATATGTGCGCAGGTGTGGGACCTGCCACTGGAGCAAAGGTCACCTGCCCGCAGCCACACTCCCAGAGGAAAATGACTTTCTGGGACCTGGATGGCTCAGGGGTTAAGAGCACTGACTGCTCTTGCAAAGAACCCAGGTTTGGCTCCCAGCACACACATGGTCACTAACAACCCTCTGTAACTCCAGTTCCAGGGGATCTGGCACCCTCTGCTGGTCTCTGTGGGCAATGCATACACATGGTGCACAGATACACCCATAGGCAAGACACATACGCACATAAAATAAAAATAAATCTAAAGTATTTTTTAAAGAAAAGAGAAATGACTTTTCCTCCCTAGCAGCCATCAGCTGCCAATAGCTCGTCAGCATGGATGGTTCCTCATGGGCCCCTGTCCCGTCCATGCTGGAATGTTGACTGATCTTGTACAGGTAACTGCAGCTGCCGCATTCCTGAGCACAATGGTCCGTGTTATGTCCCAGCACTCGCCATCCTCCGGCCCATACATGTTTGTGAGCCTTGGGGTTGGGGAGATTGTGATAACGTCTTTAGGACAAAGCACTCACAGTCACTCTCCCTCAGCACTTTGGCCTGTCAGTTATGCGTCTTTGTATTAACCCCACAGCTGTTTGTTTTTATTCTCTACTATTTGGGCTCCTTTGAGCGGCCCGCCACCCAGCTCCCAAATAATCACACATGGAGGCTTACTCTTTTTCATGAATGCCTGGCCTTAGCCTGGCCTGTTTCTAACCAGCTTTTCTTAAATTATCCTGTCTACCCCTTGCCTCTGGGCTTCCCTCCTTCCGCTTCCTGTCAGCCAGTTGCTGACTCAGCCTCCTGACTCCAGGTTAATTTTATTTAATCAAACTAATGTAACATGTCTTTGAATCATTAAACAAATATTCCACAGCATAAACGAATGTAACACAAATTAATATTCCACAACACCCTGACACTGCAAGAAGTTTCTCTAATCAAGGCTGACGACAGCAGCACAAATGTATGGATAGAACCATAAATATTTAGAAGGTATTGTGACAACATGGCTACTCGGCAGGACAACTGTAGTGGGTTCCCCTCTAGAACTTGTGCCTCCCCCACCCCCCAGCCACAGGATTCTGACCAGGCACGAATCCCCTCCTGGGTAGCAGGCCTCATATGCTACCCCATAATAGTCATGCTACTTTTGCCCCAGTGGGCACCTCTTGCCTGGCAGATCAGTACTGTAGCATGCAGGTTTCAGACAAACATCGTTTTAACGAAATAAGGCAGAAACACCCAGTGGCCATTGCGTCATCATTTCTGTAACTGGGCTCATGGCCTTACCTGGTATTTATAGCTTTCCTTCCTCTAGCACCCACTCAGCATTTCCTCCGCTCCCAGAAGCCCCTCAGTGGGTCTCGTTACTCATCCCTTCGTGCCTAAAGGATCTGGGCCCTTTATCCTCCCCCTTGGATTGGGTTGTTGTCGTTTCCATTGGCCTTAATGGTAACACTGAGAGAGTACACCCCAAAGCACTTGCACTCCAGATACTCCACCTTATTTCCTTTGTGGAAAAGCAGTCCAGTTTCTTCCCACAGTACACATCAATAACTCTTCCCAATACTGTGACTTCCACATTAGTCTCTTGACTAAAGATACCAGGAGCACAAAGCATCCAGGACGAAGTCAAACCTACCTTCGAAATCATCTTTTAAAACTTAGATTTATTTATTTAGTGTGTGTATGCTGGTGCACATGTTCCATTGTGTGTGTGTGTGTGTGTGTGTGTGTGTAGTGTGTGACAACCTGTAGGAGTCAGTTCTCTCCTTCCACCATGTGGGTGTTAGGACTGAACTCAGATTATCAGGCTTGGTGGCAAGTGACATTAACCCATTGAGCCATTAGCTGGCCCTTAGCTTCCAGTTCAAAGGAATGTTTGCTTGCAACTCCTGGAAATATCCCAAAATGTCCTCATTCCCGAGAGCCATAATTTCTCGGCTAAGGGAGCACTGTGGGTGCTCGCGTCTCCAGGCCCCTTTTGGTACCATGCGCAGGGGCTCGTGGGTAGGTTCTTCTCAGGGTGTTCTCGTATTCCAAGAACCAGGTGTTTGATCCTGCGCCGTGCCCTAGTGTCTCACCCTACAGAGCCAAGTCTTTTAAGAATCTTTCCTTAGAGGTCAGCTTTGTCCTAATGTCAACCCCCTAACTGAGAAGGGACCCTTCTCTATCAACGACACTCCTTCCTGCTACACACAGACTGGATCCACACCCACTCCCTTTAGGACGGTACAGCAGGGTATCCAGACTCAAGCCAGACGGACACTTACTCGCTGTGGAACCTGGAGAAAGTCACCCAACCTATCTGTGCCTCCACATTCTCATCTGCAAAATGGGATAATATCTCTCAGGGCTAAAGAAATCAGCCCTGTGGCCTTAGAATAGCATGGTCCACAGTGCTTATCACTCTTAGCTCATTCCTACCCTTGTTCTCACCTCTCCCTCCTCCTCCTCCTAAAACTATGTTTAAATTTCTCTGTTCGGGTCACAAGGCAACAGAACACTCAACCCACCAAAACCTCAGTCCTCTACTTACCTCACTTTGTCTCCCTTTACTGGCAAAGAAATGGAAAGAGGAGACGTGTGTCTCCATTACTTCAAATCTCATTAAGGCCTCAACCCATTACAGTACTTTACGGTTTCCATTCTGCTCTGGTCCAGCCACTCACAGAATTTGCTGTCAATAAAGTCACTAATGACTGTCTAAAGAGCCAAAGTCTAAGTGTCATCCCATCCGAGCGCCTCGAGCTCAAAGCTGTGGCCACCCCTCCCTCCTTATTTGCATTAACCTCTTTATGATCTACTCAGAGACACAGTGAGATACTGCTCCTGGCTGCCCCACTCCCACAGGTTGGCCTTGTACCCCTCATCTTCTTGCATGTTGGGATTGCAGGCACATGCCACCACACCTAAGCTTACAACTTGTCATGTCTTAGAAAGCTTTTTTTTTCCCAATATAGTACTAGTCTATATTTTAAAACTATAACATTAAACTATTATACATATACTATATGCATAATATATATGTAGGATATGTACTATACTATAATATATAGTATAGTACATTGTTAACTTGGGTGTTCATTCCAGATACTGGACGCAACATGCACTAGGCTTTGCAGACTGGCTTCCCTGCATCATCAGGTAGCTAGAGAGCACTTGAAAACGCTCTGTTCTTACACAAGGCGCGTTCCCTTCATAAATGGTGGGTTTTTTCCATCTTTTCTAATGGAAATATCTCTCCTTGGGCAAAGAGATTGCCTTCCCTAATGTTCTCTCTTCCTCGCTCGAGTCCGCATCTTCTATTTAAAGCTTTCTTCTGAACACCTTTCTGGGTCTTTCATTTCCTGTGTGCCCCCTACCTGCAGGGACTTTTAAAGAATGCATCTTGGTCCACTTTACTCTCTTACCGAGAATGGCATCCATTACCATCACCTCTGCTTCCTGGTCCAGCTCTGATGGTCCTGCTGTGCGCTGTCTCCCTGGAGGCTTCCGCACCCTGCACTGAGACTCAACCCTCTGTCCTCTCCTCTAAACCTGCTCTTCCCCCAGTGCTGTCACGAGGCAATGCTCCCTCTTCACGGGTCATTTTCCCTGCTCAGCCTGGTGGCACCCGTAAGCTCTGATTTTGTGTGCCTTTGCCAGAAA